ATAGAGTGCTGTGGCAGTATAGCTCACAGCAACCACAAACTCCTGGACTCAAGTGGTTCTCTTGCCCCAGCCTCCTGAGTAGCTGGGACTACAGGCGCCCGCCACTACACACGGCTATTTTTTGGTTGCAGCCATCATTGTTGTTTGGCCGGCCCAGGCTGGATTCCAACCCGCCAGCTCATGTATGCGGCTGGCGCCCTAGCTGCTTGAGCCCTAGGCACGGAGCCAATAATTAATTCTTTATGCCTAAAGTGGGATTCCTTAACCCTTTTAGCAGAAACCTGGGGGATGCGGCATCAAGCTTTCATTCTGCACAGGCGCACTCGCCTGGAGCCCGCTCAGCTGTTCACTGCGCAGTCAGGCTCACTCCAGCAGCCAGGAGAGGAGGCTTGGGCATGCAGATAGCGCTAACCATCTATTACCTCCATCTTGGAGATCCCAGAGGAAAACGAGTTATGGGCTCGGTGCCTGTGGCTCAAGTAGCTAAGGCGCAAGCCACGTACACCCAAGGTGGTGGGTTTGAATCCAGCCCGGCCGCCAAACAACAATGATGGCTGCAACCAAAAAATATAGCCGGGCGTTGTGGCGGGCGCCTGGGGTCCCAGCTACTTGGGAGGCTGAGGCAGGAAAGTCGCTTGAGCCCAGGAGTTGGAGCTTGCTGTGAGCTCTGATGCTACAGCACTCTACCCAGGGGGACAGCTTGAGTCTCCTGTCTCTCCTGTCACTCACCACTCTACTTTTAGGGTACAAAGAAAACGAGTTATGTTGTCCTCACATCTATCCTTGTATAAAATTCCCAGAAAGAGCCTGGTTGAGCAACTTGAGTATGTGCCAGATCCTGAGCCAAATGCTGTGGCCCAGAGGAGGTAAGGAGGCTATGAAGGCTGGATGCTGTGACCAGGAGTCCAGCAGACACCTCAGACCTGGGCTGAGGTGCTGGGCAGGCACAGCTCATGCCTACAAATGCCTCGTCTGTGCTCACTCTGCAGGGTCAGATGTGCTTTGTAATTTAGGAAGCCCATCATCAAGACCTAACCACATGTAATTTTTGTAACTTGTTAAGTAGGTATTACAAGGTAATTAGTATCCCTTCCTGTTTTTTATCTTTTCTTTCTTTCTTTCTTT